ATTTCAAGCGTTGCGAAGCTTCATCATCATCTTCATCATTGGTTTTGTAGTGTTTTGTTCGACAATTTGTTCCAGTAACAACCTTTTCATAAGATACGTCACACAAATTTTAGTGGTCGGTTTTGCACCATACTGACAATGCTGGGCCATTTATACTAGTCTAGTGGTCATGGAATTTGTAATTTATTCTTAATTATTCGTCAAGACTTATTGACATAATGCAGGGAAAATAATCCTTTCGAGAACCATAATTTAAAAATAAAGCGTGACCTGGACTTGAATATTAAAAAATTTCTAGTCAACTAGTCAATGCCACAACAGCTATGAATATATTCTAATTTTTTATTACTCGTTCGTTTTTGATTTTTGTTAGTTTAAATCAAACGGTCCCATGGATAGTCTTGGGGTGATAATGGCGTAATTCGAATCAACTTACTACACGGAATGGTGTATTTTGTCACTATATTGATATATGCAGTGCTTATTTATTTTTTTGGATCGATGGCCATATAACTGTAAAACACCCTAAAAATATTCACATGATGCACTTTATAGGGAGGTATTTCTGACGAGTTAACAGCACATTAGTGTTGGTTTATATTCATTTACAGGGAATTTACATATCGTTGGAGAAAGCAACAACACAGTTGTATTCAGAAACAGAGATTCCACCAAATGGTACGGGTTATGGTTTAACGACTCGAATGCCGGTAAGTATCGATTAAATGTATACGTAAACATATATTGGAAGGAAATAAATTTCCTATGGAAAGGATTAAGATACTTAGCGGGAGATAACCACCAAGCGTATACTACCAAATATCTTCGTGTTTAGTTGATCACTATGAACAGGGCTCAGAATTGTGTAACAAGCTGCAGAAAATCTCGATTAAGTCAGATATTAAACCAGTTCATGCTTATCATGTTTGCCTTTGCCTCACTTCTTGAATAAGTCAATAACGTAACCGTTCAAAATTGGTCACCTTATAATAAAATTGGAAATGCATCTAAGATTGAACTACACATAGGAGTGTCTATTCATTCGTATGTATGTATCAATCAGTCATATATTCTTATTCACTCGCAGAGACAAATATCCATGGTTTACACATATCGATGAGTAAGACTGCGCTGAAGTTGAGCAACAGTCGTCGTAACACCACTGTGAATGACATTACAGTCCACCAGTCGACGTATGGCTTAGTGGCAACAATTACCCGCAATTCACAATTTGACATTCACGATTGTTTGTTTACTGAGACCGAAGGTGATGCAATAGATATCGATCTATCGGGGGATGTAACATCCACAGGTATTCGAATTCTGGACTCGGTTGTATCTAACAATGGGGATTACGGCATATATATACACGGAAATGCAATAGGAGACATCGACGCGCCATCTACCCTGGTATTAGATAACGTCAAATCAACCAACAACAATAATGATGCATTTAAAGTGAATCTTGGCAATATGCCAACAATCATAAACATGTCGAATTCTGACTTCAATAGCAGTGATGATGGAATTTCCATCGTTATCAAGTCGGGTCAAATCTACATAGAATATTGTAATTGTGGCTCGAATTTTTACTACGGCTGTTATATATCATACGGTTTTTCCAGCGAAACTCAAATACAGAATATCATCATCAAAGATAGCACGTTTGCGAATAATCACTACTCACAACAGTTCTATTTTCACATCAACACATATAGTGCAATAAAATCCGCTTCGTCTTTCGCGTTTATTAGAAATCGCGTGGTGTCTACCAGTACCTATTATGACGGCGTTTATTTCTCCAATCTGCGTAGCATTCAAGCGGTGGTACTGGACGACAATGTGTTTCAAGTGTCTTCCACAAGTTTGGCTGTCAATCTCGTGGTTAAGGACTCCGTGGACGAGCTGCAACTTCGCGACAACATGTTTATAAACTGCCAGAATGCCCTTTACGTTTCTGTGCATGACAGTGACGATACTGCTGTTTCAATTGAAGGTAACAGTTTTATCTCCAACTATGGCGACAACATAATACAAGTGCAAATCAATCCTTCATCAGAAAAAGAATTTAGCATTATTCATAATAATCTCGTCAATAATTCAAACATTGTACTTGAGTTTTTAAACCTCAATAGCGGCATAAAGCTTTTCCAGAACTTCTTCAACAACCCAACATGTCAGTACAACGTAAAATTATCTCCCGGGAACTCTATTGACTATCTCGACGCCGCTTACAACTGGTGGGGTAGCTCTGACTCAAGGACAATCAGAAATAAAATTTATGACAATAGCGTGGACTCTACTTTGCCTGTTGTCGAAGTCTCTCCATTCTTGGCATCACAAAACTATTCCGACATTGCATATGAGGAATTCTCTTTCGTGAATATTGATGGAGATATCGGTGGTGAAATATCGTCAAATGTCACTCTTACAAAGAATGGGAGCCCTTATCACGTGACATCTAATATTGTAGTTAAGGAAAGTGGACAGTTGACTATCGAACCAGGTTGTGAATTGCTCTTTGATGAAAATACAATGATACGTGCACAAGGTAATTATTATCCGATATTTAACAATATCTAGATGTGGTAGAGGGTATAATGTAGAACTAATAAACTGTGAAATTGACCATAGACGAAAATGGCCGCCGAGATCTCGTTGAGAGCGAAAAAGCCACGAAACTCTCGACTAGCGTTTCATTCTTTTCTGACATCGCATTCACTGTTGTAAATACCATGGTTATACAGATCAAGGAAACATTGGACGCGGTGACGAAGGAAAAACGGTGAGATTTTGAGGGTGAACAACGACTAACGACTCTCTCCCTCCCAACGACAATTTTCGTCTAATCAGTATCAATGACGGGCCTCTTTATTGCAAGAATTTCCTTAGCTACTAATTGATTTTCAAAGCTCTAATGTACTAAATAGATTTGTGCGTGTGACCTGACTTTTACATTTAAAAACACAACTATCGTTGTTATATTATTTTAGGGATTATTGTAGCCCTTGGAACTGCCGAGAATCATATTAATATGACTGCTTACGAAGATGGGCTCCGATGGAGAGGATTACAGCTGGTTTCACGAAAAGGTACAGTTACAGGAACGTTAATGTCATTAAGTTTTTACCTGGTTCGATATCATTGACAATTTAATAAGGATGTTAGGAAACAGAGGATGGTTGTATCTGACAATTGCTACTTTACAGTGCATCCAACGAGTGATATACCTAAAAATGTTCTTTTTATGAAAAAATACATTTCACGGGTATCGAATGTTGGGCTTACTATCAAAAAGTGGAAATTGCGAAATCTTTCTGTGAATTGTTCTCCCTGCTATAATTTTGTATAGCGTTCCTTTATTTTATACGCAATCAATTTTCGCTTTCCTCCAAATTAATGCTGTATTTTTTGTCTCAAAATGGGTCAACAAAAACATATTTACACCACATGTTTGAAATTACATGGCGTGTTCATACATAAGAAATCTAGCCAGTTACTCCACCTTTACTATAGCTTTGCAATGCACCCTCCCCCAATAAAATCTAAATTTATAACACTCTCAGAAATTGCACATTATTTCCCCTGCCCCTAGAAAATACTATGGCATTTTAATTTCAACATTAATCTTTCAATATATGTTTCATACAGGAACAATAGAATACCCACCCGAATGTGGCGGCAATGTGACTGTTCCAAAGGATTTCTCGGTGAAGATGTACTCTCCAAATTATCCCGCGAATTATTTGAATAACCTGTATTGTATATGGAATATTTTGACGGAACCCGGTTATCGTATTCGCATTACGTTCCTAGATTTTAGTACATCTTATAGCGATCACGTATCATTTGGTCATGGATCAACAACGTACAGTACAACTCGGTATGAAGGTAGCGAATTGCCGCCTCAGTTCGAGACAAATGTAAATGAGGCTTGGGTTGAACTTACTACAAATTCATATTATACTGCAAAAGGATTTGCAGTGAGGTTAGACGCTATCAACGTTAATGAAAGTGAGCCATTGCGTAAGTAGATGTTAATGAATTTATAAATTTAACAGAATGATGAGGGTGTGAGAGTTAAAACTATGGACTTTGTTTGTTAAAGAATTGATTGTAACCGTATGCTGAGTATAACACACTGTAAACTGGCTCGCTCTGAGAACATAATATAATGACCGTATTTAATGGGATAACTGTGTCCGTCCGTGTAGTGAGTTTCAACCCAACACGAACGAAAACATACGAATTCGCCGCTAAACAGATGTGCATTACTGGCAATCTTACTACAACACATTGCCTAAAACAAGCTGTCCTTCGATAAACAAATTCATGTATGTAATTATGGGTACAGTATATCTTGAACGTCGGTAATACCGGCCTCCTCCAAATTGATGCAAATGCTCATAAAAAACATTTTGTAGTTAACTTAAAACATTCAGTTCAATAATTGCATTAATTTCTCTTACTTTAACAGCGGGCACGGAACTTTTCTTTCTTGATGTTACACATACGACGCATGGTATCGATGTTCAGGGCGCTGCTGTACACATGGGTAATGTGTCATCACACGACTCCGCGGGACATGGCATCACAATTGACACGACCGTGTTTCCCGATCAAAGCAATACAATTATCAGAGGATGTAATGTTACAGGTGCCTCCGCGAATGGAATAAATGTTATCTTACAGTCGTCCATCGATACTACCTACTCTGTTACTATTAGTAGCTGTCGCATCACAAACAACGATGGCAACGCAATATACGTGAGCGGCAGTGGAGAACTGGCTGTGCAGAATTGCTCGCTAACACAATGTCAGTACGGGTTTTATTCCGAAATGAAGACTGGTAATTTGATTATAGATGACACTATGGTTGTGGCAAATGAATATGGAGTGTATTTGGAAGCACCATATTCGGCAACAGAGAAGAGTCTTTTGGTGTTTGTGACACACTCTATAATTTCAGAGAGTTTTAACAGATATTCGTATGGTTCGATAAAAATCACTGACAACTCGAATTACCAAAGCAATGTTACACTATTAGAGAGAATATTTTCAGAAACGAGCACAACTATGGAGTATACATTACTAGCAGCAACCAGTACGTTGCTGTGGACATTACATCAAACACTTTCCAGAATTTAGGCTGCTCCGTTTATGTTGGGAGGACCTCACATGTCATTGTGCACAACAATGACTTCCTTAGCAACAGTTTGCCATTTTATTATTGTCGTGGCATTGTATCGGTGGAACAGTATTACCCTGAGAGTACTTATGAAATCACCAATAACACATTTATGTACAACACCAATGCTAATGCTGTTAATTTTAATGACAATGGGTGGTATTTTTATAACAATAATGTGAAGATTTATGGCAATGTTTTAATTGATAACATAGTAACGACAACCGTGGTATTGTCTGGACAAAGCGGCCAAGTAACGTTTAACTACTTCAGCAACCCAGGGAGTACGTGTGAACTCAGTGTGGGATCGTTCAGTAACACTAATGTAGTGAATGCACAGTACAACTACTGGGGAGCCACTGACTTTAATGAGGTGACTCGTCGAATTTGTTCATTCCACAACGATATGACACTTGCACATGTGGAATATCTACCTTATCTTTCATCGATGGGTTCCGAAGAAACTGAAGATCTGCCAGTTAATCTGATTGTCTATGATGGCGAGGCTGGTGGCACGTTGACATCCAATGTGACTTTGACACAACAAGACAGCCCATACGTTGTAACGAAAACAATATTCATAAGGTAAGTGTCACAGGGATTTTGATGTTAATCTCCTTTCCGAATTTGTAGGGCTAGTTAAAGCCTGCGCATGCGTCAGATGACCATAGCGTGTCAATGTTTACGAACAAGCGTCTACCAATGAGTTTTTGTGTTTTCAGCGTGTGTTGTTATCGTCGCTTGGGACCCATTTCCCGCGCACGCGCGACTTAAACGCAACTGTACATAGGCACTAAATTGATTTACATGATGCGTGCATATATAGGTCAGAAGCTCAGCTGATCATAGAGGCTGGTGTCCACCTACAGTTTTTATCAGGAAGAGGAATACTTTGTGAAGGTTTGTACATACTATTGTAATTCATCCAGTCATTATTCACATGACTGCAATGCAAATACGATATATGGTTAAGTTCAGTGAAGCGTGTATTGTTGACACATCCTTCAATGTAACTGTACTACCTACATAACGCTCACGAGATTGCTTTAGGGGATACAATTTATGTATATCGTTTGTGAGTCATAACAATATCACAGCCCGAATATCGGCGCTTGTGCCTCGCCCACATATCGTCTAACAAATGATTTCCTGTACTCAGACCAGTAAAAATAGTATTAAATCTATTGCGACACATGACAATACCTGCACTCGCTGACAAATGCTACTTGTACGTTTATTTTGCAAATAGGTCGTTTAGAGGCAGTTGGTACTCCACAACAACCAATCACGTTTTCATCATATGATGACACTCGATGGTATGGTATACTATTTATGGATACTGAATTTGTTAGTCCAGGTGGGTAAAAGTAAAAGTGTATATCCGGGATTCACTCATTTATACCGGGATGGCGTTGAGGTATTATGTTTGTAATTCTCATTTTGTTTTTCAACCCTTAGAGTCAAAACCAACAGAAAAAGCAGAAACAAAAACGCAAGGTGTAAACCAAACCATACCTGAATGTGGCGGTTCACTTTATATTGCCCCTGGGAATACTGTACAGATTATGACGCCGAACTACCCCGGAAATTACCCAAACAATCTTGACTGTATCTGGTCAATATCAACCGATGACGACTACTTGTAGGACTGATATTTAAAGATTTTCACACTTCCTATGGTGATTATATCTCCTATGGTGACGGCTCGATTATTCGATGACTCATCTCCAAGTCATGATGGAACTACATTTCCACCCAACTTCTTGTCGAATGGTCCAAGGGCATGGATTCGATTCACTTCAGATTACAACATAAATAGTCAAGGTTTCAAGATTGATGTTAATGTGCCTTTACCAACTGA